ACAGTATAGCTGTAGGCATGTTCAAGAGCAGCATATTGATAAAATCCCTTCTCAGAAAGAATATACAAGCTGTCTTGCACTCTGAAAGAACAAGAGCTTGTAGAACACTGTCAAAAAGAACAACTAGTTTTAAACTAACAGCCAGCAAAAAGCACTGTGCTGCAAACCTTGTGGAAATAAACATTTGTACAAAACAAATATGACAATTTAATGCAGGAAGACCTACACAAGAACTGTTGAACTCTTAGCTTACCGTTACAGAGAACTTTACCTTTGGAGTAGAACTAAGGGAGTTAAAGCAATTTGCTCTACAATATAAGAAACATGAGCATAGTCTACCTTCGTGGTATTGTGTGACCTTTGATAGTTCTTGCCACAGGTTCTTATATATAAAAGAAGATTAAAATAACATCCAGAATTTGCAAGACAAACTGAGGGTATGACGTGCTCAGACAATACAAAAAGATTGTATACAATACAAAAAGACTGACCCCAGGGAAGTGGTCACTGCACCGAGCCTGACTGAATTTAAGAAGAGATTGGACTGTGCGCTTAGTCACATGGTCTGAACTTTTGGGTAGACCTGTGCGGTGTCAAGAGTTGGACTTGATGATCCTTAAGGGTCCCTTCCAACTCAGGATATTCTATGATTCTATGATTAATGTTATATATCACTTCTAGATAGTCTATCCTGACCACACCTGCAGTCTGCTCATCTACAGCATGCAGTATAATGAAATTAACAACATCCCAGAATCGGACTGGAAATAATTCAAATATTACTGTATAGTGAATTAGTTTAAGAAATTAGAAAGGGTTTATTTCAGACTTTAAATCACTAGGCACTCATTAATTACTCTTCCACAGCAGCAGCAATTAAGTGCATGGAATGATATACATAAACAAAAGCACCAGCAGGAATAATAAGAAAGATTCTCAACATGTACAGTTCTTAAATACCACAACTGTACATTCTGAATTTCTTTTTGCAGCTGATCTTGATGTAAATCTTTAATAGTTACCATATTCTCATATTATGAATGAGTAATTCTTTATTGCATTTCTGCTTCAAAGAATCTATCTGGTTTTAATTAGTCCCGAAAGGAGGTTTTCATTGAATAGGAAATTCTCAAATGACAAAAGGAAATAGAGGAGTCAGCATAAGTGAAGTGAACTAGAACCAGCAGAGAAAGATGAGCTGAGTGTCTACCGGACAGGTTTGCCAGTATCTCAGCAATTCAATGTCACTTAAAAGCAGAAGCAGTCAGCAAGTGTCTCATTATATTAAGGTGCCTGCCTCCTCTGAAAAAAAGTTGCTGACATTTGGTTTGTGGATGAAACAACGAAGTTCGAGCAATTGCTCAAAGGTTTTTATTTTTTAAGGACACAATTTACGATTCACACTGCAAGGGGTCAAGTTAAACAAAAATAAATCTCAATCCACTGGGTACTTTGGGAAGTGAGAGGGGGCAGGGAAGAACAGGTGATAGGTACACACGGAGAAGTGATTTTCCTACCAATCAACTCATTTTAATGCAACTACAGTGGTTCTGTCCCTTGCAGATGTTTCTGATTCAATCTATAAAATACACTCAACTAAGGGCTGAAAAAGTCAAAGTGATGGCTTACATTTAAAGGCTCTTCTGTTGCTATACCCAAAGAACATGTTGCCACAAACAGCAATGTCAGCTGAGAATTTCCAGTCATTTATGCAGCCTTAGTTTGAGATGAACACAACACCGTATCCCATTTTGCATTAAATTCAGCAGATTTGCTATTGATTCTTAAGGCCCTGATAATCCAAGTGTCAGGTCATAAAGAAACTGCCTACACTGTTAGCCTCACATAATTAAAAAGGTAGCAGCCGTAATCAATGAATTCCTTATACACATATGATGAAACTCAGACAAAATTCCCACTGCATTAATGTATGCTTGTTAAACATACTTGATTCTACATAATTTTTATTCTAATATTTCAGCTAAAACTAAATTAATCTAGTCATCATACAGCCCAGTCCATGTAAGCAACAAGACCCTGGTAACAAATAACATGCTCTAATGTATACACCACTAATTTAAAAGATGTACCTAGTTAACAATCTGACAGACACATGGGGAAAAAAACTTTTGTCAGTTCACTGTAAGATGTACTTTTGCAACAGAAATACAGGCAAGATGGTAGTAACAAGATTTGCTAGCTATCCAGCCTGAATGAAATGTTTTAAAACTCTTTTAAACAAATTTTACTAGATCCAACTCAACTGAGACTCAGATAACAGAAGTATTTGACTTAGGTCATTTATAATATGATGAATGAAGTCTGGCAAAACATTTTTGCCATTTCAACCAAATACATGATATCTAATACACACACATTGGGAGAGTTGGTTTGAGGTACTCCAAAAAGCCTTCCGTGTTGGAATTCCCTTCCCCTTTTGTGTCCAGAGCACTACATTTGTTAGCCATGCAAATCTCAATTCTCTCTCCCCTTCCTTTCCATAACAATTGGGATATATAGTTAAGACTCCTTTGGGTATACAAGCCTTTCCAACAACCATGCTCTAGTTACATGGGTTTAGATACTATTTAGAAATGTATAGGAATAGACAGATTAGCAAAATAATCTTTAAAGGTATGGAAGATCATATCTTAGAATTTGCTTTTATCAACACACTGATGGTTTAGATTGACTCTAAGTTCAATACCAAACTGGTATTCAGGACTAATAACAACTAGTGAAGTAAACCTTGTTCAAGTATTAGGAACTTGCGTATACAACATGTTAGAGACTAGGAAAAAAGTTCTAAAACACTTGAATAAACTAGAACAAGAGATGCACAAGGACAAGATAGAAAACTACATATGGTTACGGATTTTTCAGAGAATTCCCACTAATGAGAACAGCTAAACTGTCAAATTTATCTCCACAGAGAATAAGAAATGAATGACAGAATCAAACAGCTAGCTATCACAGAAGTATTGTTTGACATTGTCTGCAAAGCTCTTCGCAGAAATCAGTGAAGCTCAGCTTTTCTGTCTTCATTTTCAGAAGATTCAAGGCTTTGCTGAAAAATTCAAGGTGTTAATGCTACTAATGATAGCATGCATAGTTCTCATTTCCCTTTACAATAAGCATAATTTACTTGCCTTATAGATCTTCTACTATTCTCCTCCTTCTAAAATACCATGATTTTGTGCAGTTAAAAGATTTTTGCAAAGTATTTAAAGAAACAACACATACAAAATGCCAGAAACCAATGCTTAAACCCCAAAGAAGCAAAAATAAACACTCTTCTGAGTCAAAGTTATCACCAATAATATTAAAGACCAATAATTTAACGTCTTTTAGCAATATAACAACCTTTAACACCATGCGATATGCTAGTATAAAAACAGTTTAATTTCTAAGATTACTATTTGAGAAAAAAATATTTCAGTCATGAGCTACTGGAAAAGCAAGCACCTTGTCTGTTCACTTTTTATTCCTTAGATTGGAATCATTTAAGTTATTTGCAAATTGTACAATATATTAGAAAGAACAATGCTTTCTAAAAGAGCATATTTTCAGAACACAAAATCCAGGATTAAAAAAATAACGTGATGTGGGGATTTGAGAAGAGAGACCAATTGTTATCAACATCCCTACATTTTTCCCCTCCAGCAATGAAGAACAAGGGAACACTTTGTAAACCAACAACAATCCTTGCAGAGATGTGTCTATCTCTGGTGAGTTATCAGCATATCCTTCACCCATTTTCCTTCACTTTCAAGAAGCACGAGGCCATTGCTGTGCTATTCTGAAGTGAGCCTTCAAATTACTTATTACCTATAAACACTCTGAGTCTGGACACTGCAAGGCACACTAGCAGATAGTGACATACATAATTTTTTGTAATCAGCATAAATCTTAACATATGTGAACCCCTATTTGCAGTTTAGAAGGCTAGTATTTTTATAAACCTTACCATAAAAGTTACATAAATACCTCAGATGATCTAGCTGCTACTCATCTCTTTAGATTAGATTACAAATCAGCTAGTTCAAAACCAGATGCACCCTTTTTTACAACCTAAATCATATTAAAAATCATTTTTAAAGGAATTTCTATTCTGGCTTTAAAAATCTTTTTTTGTTTGTTTGTTTTATTGTGAGTACAACTTTAGTAGCTGAACTGATGTTTTGCTATGTAAGTTACTTCCATTTACTTTGAAGCACTTTATGAACACGGCAGCTATCTGAAGCTTTCATAAACATTCTCATTCATTGTTGTGCTATAATAGACCATTTGAGGAGCTTTACAGCCCATATGCTCATAACATTGAAATTAAACAAAAGGAAACGTGATTTAGACTGAATCATTTCATGTGTAGAAGTTCATAAAATACTTGTATTGGGTCATACTTTATAAATCTCCAGAAGCTGAAGAGAGTGCAGTTGCCAAGACAGGACAAAAGCTGTATCCCAGTATAAAATATTTAAAATAAAATATCAAAATGACTATGTTTTAAATTACTTTCCAACCAATTCATATATTTGTACTACTGTAAAAAAAAAAAAAAAAAAAAAAAGAAAAGAAAAAAACAACAACAAAAAACTGTTCATGAACCTGTTATTTTGTGATCACTATTTCAAAAACATTTATCATCTTAACTTTGGAAAACATGACAGCACTCTTCAATTATCTCACATGAAACAGCAAGACTTCCAGCAAAATGAGGAAAGAGTTTTTTCCTCCTATATACCCTTAGTTATTTTAAGAGGACCTAGAAGCATTTATAAAAAGCAAAAGATGTATTAAAACATTTTTCTTTTATAGACAATAGCAGCACTCTACCTGTAAAAGCCACCAGATATCTTTCCCATACATTTCTTATTAACAGCTACTAATTATTTTTAAAATCAAGAGTTCATAGATCTGGGATATAGTAAGACCAGACCCCATCATAAAGGGCTTCATAATTCCCCTCAATCAATGGAGTACAATGAAAAGAACCCTACCGTAAGACCACAGAGAACTTGGCCCATTGCCTTGATCACATATCCTGAACCAAAAACAAACAAACACTCTAAGTAATTTAATTTTACACAGTACATACCACTAGATCTATTCTGATTTACTAAGTGAAGGGTTAAAGCTCTACCAGGTGTATAGCAGTAACAAGTTCTGCTTCTTTTTTTCTTCTTTCTTTACACTTAGCATTTTTAAGCCCAATTTGATAACAAACTCTACTTTTCAGAAACTACATTCTTAACCTCCCACTTCCCCTTACTGGTGAATTTTTAAGTTCATTTTTTTGTTTGTTTAGTAACAAAAAAAAAAAATATTGAAAATATCTGAAATAACAGTGACTAACCTTTTTCTTTCTCTGCTGTAAAGAAAAAACCTTCACCTGCTAAATTCCTGTCCTACAAACTAATGTTACTGCTTATGTTTGGTGAACATAACTTCTCCCTCAAAACAAACAAAGTAAAAAAAAAATGTTTAAAAAAAAAAAAACTACCCTTTTCTTTTTATACATTAATTGCCAGCCCAATAGGAGTTTGAGCATCATTACATTTATTATCTATCACACTTCCAGTTGTGTCACCCAGACCCTTCTATTTAACTCAATTTTCATGTTTTCATTGGCTCTTACTCTTTCAGAGAGACGAAGTAGCCTACATCCTAGAAACAAGATTTAAGAATTGACTCAAGAAAAACAGGGGCCTTTTGTCAAACACTGTAATTTAAGAACTCCTACAAGGCTGTTCCCTATACTGGAATCATTAAACTTTGCTTCTAATGAGCCTAGAATTCTACCTTGAAGAGGGGGGTATGGCCAATGTATATTGGAAATGTTTGACATCTAGCTCATACATGAGACTTCGGCAGAAAAGGAGAGACTTGCTTCTGCCTCAGGTGCTGGGAGTTCCACTCAGCAGACTGTCCTAACCTGAATGCTACGGCCTCTTTTCATAAGATGGTAGAGGTGAAAGAAGAAATACTTTGTTAAAACTGTGTCATTTTGAAATTATTCAAAGCTGACTGGGTTTGAGATGGAGACTGTGGAAACGAACATGATTGTAGCTTAAGCGTTAAGGCTTTTTTTTTATTTTTTTTCTTTTTATGAGTTTTGTGTCCTCCAGTTTTTCTCCCCAATAAAGTATTTTTATACATTGTCCATTGATTCTTAAATAGAAGGAAGTGTAAGAAGCAGCATCTTCTGTTTAGGCAGCCTGGACAAATGTTCTAACCATGTAATTTTTGTTCTGCTTGTGACTCTGTAAATCTTACATTTTCTTTTGCACAAATGAACTTCACCAGAAGCAGAGATACCACCAAGAAACTGTAGACTAAGGGTTAGACTTAGTAAGGTACTTCAGTTCAAAGCTGTCATCTAGGTGTTCAGTGTGGAACAACATTTTGTAATATTCTAGTGAGAAATTAGGTATTTAGCTAGCTATTAAGATGTCATAGACAGAGTCCATAGGCTTTGTGTACCTATGAAATTTTTAGACAATTCAGTATTTCAAACAGTCCTTCCCATCCCAAGAGTGTCATTCTAGAGGTCTAATCTTATACACACACGTGAATAACTATAGAGCACTGGAATGGAGTACAGGTTGTGAATTTTTCCCAGTCTCTTTCCCAAACTCTTTTGATTTGCACACTTGACAAGCTTTTCTCATCTGCATAGCTGTCAGGCATTTAAGTTCTGTGGTGAAATGTGTTCTGAGAAAGTCAGTTACTTTTTAAACACCCATTTAAGAGACAAGTGGATGTGGCACTAAAGGACATGGTTTAGTCATGGGGCTTATTAGGTCAGGTTAAAGGTTGGCCTTGATGATCCTGAAGGTCTTATCCAACCTAAACGATTCTATGGTTCTAGACAGACCATGTGTGAAAGGAAACTAGGCTCCAGATTAACACCGGTTCACAGTTTCAAAAATGCCATGTGGAAAACTAGGAGTTTAACCTACGTGTATTAACAATTATTGGTTTCTCCATTATTGATCCACTTTGAAATTTATGCATGAAAAAAATTGTCATTCTGAATAATGGCCCAAATTTAATCAAAACTTTTCCCACAATTTTGGAACTTCCTTGAAGTTGAGCCCAATCTCCAAACCAGGCCTGTGGGGATAACTTTTCCTGCCATACTTCTGACCTAATGTAGCACTAGAGAAAGAACACGGCAGAAGAGATTTGAGGAATTAACAGTCTCTGAAATGTAATGTTTAAAGAAAAAGCAACTAATGGCTGAAGAGGTCTTAAATTGCAATATCATGTAGTAGCCAAGATGATAATCTTTCATATTCGCAGTTTAATACTGTAGTGCTAGTTTGAAACAGAAGTCCGCAGCAAAGTTCATTTAATATAAATGACTAAGTATCTGAAAGTCAGAAGACAAACATGGAAAGAGATTTTTAAAAGTATCCAGCTTGAATTAAACCTTTCACAACAAACAAGTGAAAGGTTTTTCTTCACCCATTAGGCACAACAAAACTTCTACAATGCTCAGAAAAGGAGTTTAAATAGACTTAGTTTTTATGAAATGAAACTTAATATAAAGTATACACTGGATTGTAAAACCATGCTTGTGCTTTACTGTGAAATTGTCCCAGTTATGAAACTAGATTTAAAAAATAGCACAGGACAACAACAAGCTACCTGAGACTTTGATTCCACTCTCCCACCAACACAAGGAATGTTGGCATCTAATTTCTTTTTAACTTTTTAACTGAATTCCTGTCAGCATGTGTGGGGCATCAGCACCCAGGCACTGGCAGTGGAGCTGCAGGTGCTACCATGAGGAGAGGCCAGGTGTGGGCAGGCCCTGTGCTGCTCCTTCCAGAGGGTTCTGGAAGGTTCTGAGGGCCCCACCACAGGGCCCAGCTGAGCCCATCTGCAACACTGGTGGTGCCACTGTGAAAATCTCCTCAGAGAGAGCACAGTACTACATGACACTGAGGAGAGAGAAAGACAAGGTGTGAGAAGCAGCCCTGCGATGCTGCTGAGAGAAAAAGCAGGGAGGACATGCTGCAGACACCGGAGCAGAGATTCCTCTGCAGCCCATGGAGAGCTTCCATGAGGAGAAACCCCAAAATTAAGAGTCCTGTGCCCTACTGCTGGCTGTAGGCCATAGGCCAAGCTCACCCACCACACAGTAAAAACACAACCTGTACTGAATCTGTCCTTTTGACAAGTAGGGGCAAATGCATACTTTTTTTTTTTTTTTTTTTTTTTTTTTTTTTTTTTTTTTTTTTTTTTAAAGCAGTATCCATTTGATTGAGTTCTAGCCATTTATAAAAGTGCTCTACTGGCAACATGTAATGTTATATAATTATCTAGGCCTGAACACTGAGAAGAAAACTAAAAACTTCAGTATTTGTATGCTTTTATTAAATATGGAGGCCAACAACTTACTTATCCAAGATGTTTAACATATATATCACATCACATACAAAAAAGCCATTGTCACCAATGTATATACTTTAGTTACATATATGCAATATAGATACTACAGAAATTTGAGCAGAAAATATGGCAAAAATTTAACTTTTTTTTTTTTTCTTTTTTTTTTTGGCAGCTGACTGTAGGAATAATATTGCAAAAGAAAATTGGTCATTTCCAGCACAGTGATCACACTAATATAGTACATACATGTATCAGGTAAGATAGGCTCGCTTCTCTTGTGCTTGGCCTAAATACGAGAATAAATAAACCTTTCAGCTAGATGTACACAAATAAAAATACTTCACATGGCTTTCTCCCATTTGGTGCTTCTCAGGTTTGCAAAGTTGTACAGATCCCTGAATTCAGGTGAACACCATTCTGACAAGTTGCTCACACATTAAGATTTTTGTACACACACAAACTACTACTTCTGGAGTTCATTAAGGTTGCAGAAGTTTTCCTGTGGGAAATGGTTTTGTGGATTGGGCCAAGAAAATCATTGCATTTGCTTTGTAAGCTCTGAAATCTTCGTATTTTTTTCTGATCAAATATATCTTCCGTTCTTATCTCAGTCCCATCATCTTCTCACACTTCTGAAAAACTATTTTGAGTGATGAAGAGCACTGCAACCAAGGTATCACTTCTACAGGTAAGTTGCTTCTGTAAAATAATAATAGTCACCATCATTATCATCATCATTTGCCTGTTTTTGCCCCCAGATATTTTTTTTTTTTTGGGGGGGGGGGGTTAGGGGGGGACATGCAGAAGTTGTTATGATTTTTTTCTTTAGCATGCATCATATCTTTCTTTGAACTTGTACTTTAGCTCTAACAAGTGTGAATTAAAGGCAAAGACACTTCCTCAGTAGTCAACTGTAGAGTTATGACAGTGAATATAGAATACTTGCCTTTTTTTTTTTTTTTTAACTTGTAAATGGCAATTTTTAAATGTGGTTAGTCAATAATCATCATGTTGTATATGTAGTTACATTAAGCGTAATGATCTAGATAAGCACTGCCATAACTGGGTTTTCCCGACGAGAAGCTTTTGCTGCAAAATTGGCAATTAATCTTCAAATAGACCATGTAAAAAACAGGTGTTCAGTGATATACAGATTGGTGGCATAAGTATTACAAAGTCTTGGTCCATAGCATGTTGGTACCAGTAAGGAGAAAAGATAATGCATTTGCAGTTTTCTATTCAAAGGAGATTGACATCTTTATAAATATTTTTTCTTCTCAGGACAATTCTTCATGTGTCATGAAGATTCTAACATTAGAATCTATTAATCTGAATGGAGAATGCAGCCTAAAATTAGTTACAAATCATCTGCATCTGTAAGCACACTCATACACAAGTTCAAAATCTGTATTCCTACATTCCGTGCCTGAAATAAAATAAAATAAAATAAAAATTAAATTAAATTAAATTAAAAATAAAGGAACAATGTCTGCACATATGAAATGTGTAAAATGATTTGAAGAAGTTGCTGCTAATATACATTCTGCTGTTTAAAAGCATTACCTCCCTGGGTAGTACTATTCCACTTAATACTCCATTTTCACTTACTTGGATTAAAAGCAAACAGTATCCAAATATGAAAAAAAATATATATATGTTTCAGCCTGAAGAATCATTGATAAATACATAGCTACTGCTCTGAGATAGAGATAGTTGGTATGTAAATCAAAATAATTTAAATAATTTCACTAGAAAGAAGCTTTGAGGTTGTTTTAGTCTAATGGTTTAACAATTTAACATATTAACTTACAAGAAATATGAAAAACGCTACAAGCAATTTCTACATCGTTTGCCCTTATCTCACAGTTCTCCTTAGTCCACTTTGACTATTTCATGGCTGCAGAGACGAGGCCTATTGCAGACCATAGGAAACATAATCCTGAGGAGTATGATCATCAGTGTGAACCCAAACACAAACTATTTCTTAGATGTGTATAATGAAGGAAGTCGCTGTGTGTTTAGGCACTTGAAGGAATCTCCCTGTGTTCAGAGAGAGCTGGAACTGATGATTCATTGTATTCCATTACCAAGTCAGCTTCTCAGCTGGTAAAAAAAAAAAAAAAGGCATTATTCTATCAAAGTTGGTAAAGCTTCACCAGTACAGAGCAACAAGGAGAAGGCTTGCTACCTTCTAGAAATATGATCATTTTACTTTTCCTTTACTTTTACCTCCAGTTATGCCAATTTGCTGTTTAGGTTTCATTTTGGGACAGGGGGCCAAAGCTGCCTTTTTTAGAATAATAAATTTACCCACTTAAATTATTTAATGCTGTATGTTCTTTTTCATAGCATACGTGCATTTTCCTCTGTCAGAAAGGGTCAGCAGAGGTCAAAACAGCAGGTGCAGAGTCTGATGGCCTTTTGCAAATTTCAGAATGTTATTAAAATTTATTTTTAACAGGCTAAGATTTTTCTTCTGCTTTCCTTGTCTAAACAATTAAATAAGCTGAAATGTCACTCTCTAGGAGAAATGTTGCCAAGTTCAGGGTGTTAGAGAACAAACTATCCAAGTTTTGACATCTAATCAACATCACTAACATACTTAAATGTAAAGAAACAACTGACTTTAAGAATTTAATATTCTTCTCAATGTTTGTGCGGATTACATTGTGTCAAATAAGCAATATCAATCTTAGCAGTTATCCTTGTGATAAAAAGGACTAGCTCTAGTTCTTCAACCATTTGACACTGGCTGGAGGCTTTTAAAAATGTATATTCATTGGCTGTCCTACTTTCTAAAATTACTCTGTGAACTGGCCACTCTAACAAAAGAACAGCTTAATAGAAAATATATTTATGCTGATGCTTTAAATGATGGATGTTGAAAGATTTGCACAGTACAGTGACTGTGTTCACACAACTCTCTATCAGTTCAACACTTCAGTCTGAGTGATTTCCAATGTAGCCTGTTCCAGACCAAGGAGCTTAAGGCCAGAAGTGAACGTCTTCAGCTGATTAATGTAATTTTCCAAAGTATTTGTCACCTGTATAAGATATCCACGTGCTCCTCTTGAAGGCAAACTTATTCCGTAATGCATTTGTAGAGGAGTTAGGCCAATAAAACTTTTTTTCAGTGCATGCTGTTAGACATTAATGTCTGCTATTTAGAAACTGCTCATCTGACTGAATTTCAATGTCAAAAGTCAAAATTAGGTTTATGGCCCAAATCAAGCTTCAAAACACCTTCAAGGGATAAATGTAATAGGCAAACTTCCCTAGCCAAAAGTTATATTTTTCATTTTAATGAGATATCAACAAGTTTTATTTCAAAGAATGTTTACTGTATCTTTTCAAAATCGCTTTATAGATCTTATAAAGTAATAAATATCGTGCCCTTAATCCTTGTGGGTTAACATTAAAAGGCTGTAGCACAGAAATTTGTATAACAAACAAAAGCAAAATCATTCATCTACATCCAATTCCCAACAATCTGTGATAAAAAGTAGTTTTTGTCTCAAGTGTGTAGTATTACAGAACAGAGTAACAATTCTTCTCAATACTGCAAAAAAGCATTGATCCAACAAGCAGTGACAAGAACTGTTCATTTAGAAATTAAAATGAATTTAGGCCCAAGAGAAGTTCTAAGTTTTCTGTCACTGCCAACACTACTTCCTTCTTTGTTTCTTTCTAAACTCTGTAAATATTCAGACTAACATCAGGATGTGGCCCAGAGTGTCTACTTGAAGTGGAACAGTTGTCCCTGAATTCCCTAGGTTACAAGGGACCCTGGGGATCATCTCCTGCCTGAGGTGGTTCCACTTAGTTCAGGTTCTTCAGGGCCATGTCCAGTCAAGCTATGACTTCAGCCAAGCATGGAGATTTCATGGCTTGTGTCAGCCCCATTCCAATATTTGACCAGTGTTACAGTAAAAAAGTATTTTCTTACATCTGCTTGCAATTTGCATTACCTCTTGTGTTATCCCTGTGTGCACTTCAAGAAAACTCTAGCTCCATCTACTGTGCATCCCAGTTGTGTAGGTGATCATCAGAAACATCATGATCCAAAGAAGGCTTTCACCAAGAACATTTGGGATTTCAGTTTTAATATAGACACAATCTTTATAACAATATTATGGAAAAATAATTTCTGAATTTAGTGGGTGACTGTAAAGTTTGAAAAGAAATGGAAATAAAAAAGAATAGCATTGGTCTTCCTTTCCATTTCATTCTGGATGTAGAGTGGGTGTCCTGCAGCCACTTGCTTATCATTCTCCTAAGGTCCAGTTTGCTACTTGTTTCAAAAATGCACAGAATTCTGTCTTGAGTGCCAGCCCCATGCCTATTTCTGGAAAATGAAAATACGATTCTCTCAGGCTGCCTCTGCAAGCGTCTTTTCCACTCACCAGAACTTAAAGGATTTTTTTTAATTTATAAACAGCTATCTTCCTCTTTGCTAAAAAGACAGAATTAAGCATAAGAAACAAAAATTGACCTGGCTTTTAAAATATGAGGAAAAGATAGATGTACTTGACTTTTTTAGGGCTAGAAAATGGCTTATCCTTTAAGGTTACCCAGATATTTACCCAGTCGGTCAAAGGGAAGGCAATGGTGGATTTGCTCGAGTACAAATAAAATCACTCCATTAATTCTAATGTCTTATGTAACCACTTGATCCACTTCAGTGGTTGTAATGGTCTGATGGGACAAGGCTCTGAAGTAGCTTAATGATCCCATTATTTTGTCAAGACACACTGCAGCTGGCTGCCTGTATCACTTCAATCAAACATGGTCTGTAGTAACTAGTACGAGAATCAGAAGACCCTTAAATAAATGCCTTATTTCCTGAAGCTGAGTATCTTTGTCTGGAGAAAAATCTTTCCCCTCTGCCTTTAATACTGAATAATATAATATAATAATATAATATTAATAATATAATATAATATAATTAATATAATATAATATAATAATATCTGTGTCTACAGTCACATGATTGTGTGCCAAGGAACGCCATGCTCAAACCTTGTGAGTACAGCAACCTGTTATCTTTCATGTAATCAAAACAATTCCTAACTGAAGACAACACAAGTTAAAAAGAGAACTACAGGATAGTGAAAGTAGAAATGACCAGGCTGGATCTTCCCTTTTTTTTTTTTTTTTTTTTTTTTAAGAAAGCAGCATTATTTTTTTTTTCTGAGAGATTTGCTGTCCCTGAAGTTACATATGAAAGGCCAGATTTTTAAGAGTATTGGGCATTTGAACATACAGATAAATGCTACAGGAGCACATCTGAAAATCGCAGTGAATGCCTGTCTGCACTTTCAGATGCGTAAGTTCTTTTAATATAACAGCCTCTATCATCATATCTCAGTAGATGATTTTCAGATAATGTTGATCTATTACACTTCTGATTGATCACAGTGAAGTTTTTAAAATAATGTTGATAATAAAAGTAGGTGCTTCTCTTTACTGGTCTATATTAATCCATTTTTTCATATCTGCTGACTTGAGTGGAATGACACTTTTTGACCTTGTACTGAAAATGTGTCATACTCATACAGGTCTGAGAGTTTTACTACATTCAAATTCCAGTCTTCTAGCACAAACTCATCTACTGGCATCTCTTCTATGTATCTATAGAAAACAGACTGAAATGAGGCATAGTGACTTGCAGAAATATTTTTGCTTTACTTTCTGTTTTCTGTAATGTTTTCCTACTTAAATTGGATGTAGATTTCCTGACAGGATTCTTAGTACCAGGATTGTCTGGTGCTAGGATATATACAAGAAGATTTTTTTTTTTTTCTAATGACAATACACATAAACATAACAGGTTCTTGACAACACGAGATTTTCATGAAGTGCTCACCCTTTGGAAACCCTGCTTCTTCAAGACCCAGGCACTCAACCAGCAAATTCCAGTCTACCATATCTAAAAGTTTTGAACTAAAAGATAACAATTTCCAACTCAACATTTGCTGTTATGGAAGTCAGTTAAGTTGTTCAATAGAACTGCTGTGTGACAGCTGTACGTGCCTGTTCTCTTCAGAGTTATGAATTTAGAAGTCATAAGTAGGTGCTCAGGTAGCAAGGAGATTCAATTACATAGCTATTCTGTTACACTGGCGGTTCCACTACCATAATAGTTGTCAGATTGCACTAAAATGTGTGATGATTAAACAAGAATTACATTTAAATTACCTTAAAATAATCTGATTATATTTTATTAATATAAAATATAATAAATATATATATATACATAATATATATTTGTGTATAAATAAATATAAAAATATAAAATATGATGAAATATAAATTTTATTAATTAAATTTTAGTTATCTTAAAATAACCAGGACTAAAAGATTTGTTATTCTCATGTCCTGGTTTTCTTAAAGAAAAAGAAATTTCCTGTTGTCAGCAATACTTTCCAAGGGGGAGGGAGAGATTCTACACATACACAGAAAAAAAGAAAAAGAAAAAAAAAAACCCTCACCCAAACCATTTCTTTAATGCTGTCTCTATGTTTTAAACTAACATTTGTTTTTTGCTAGCATACATTATTTCATGTGTACATACAATATATGTATGCATGTGTACACACAAGGCTTCTGTTAGTTTTGTAGTCGTTTTAAGAAATGAAATCCTCATTTGATAATGAGAGCACTGTCTCAAAAGAGACACTCTCTCCAGAAAGCACTATCCAGATCTTGCTCCGTGCTGCATGAAGCAAAACTGATACCGTGAGAACAAAGAGAACAATTTCAGTTGTTTTAATCTTGTAGACTCCCATGCCTTTTGATCTTTTCTT